GGAAGGCTTTGCTCGTGGAGATAAGAGGTCCTCCCTGAGGAGCCAGGGGAGTTCGTTGGTATCGGAGTGTCTTCCAGCACTTCGCAGGCACCCTTTGTACGTGTGAGCTGGTGAGGCGGTCACGTAGAGAGCAGACAGAGGGCTGTGTTTTTGAGGTCAGTTAACCGAACCCCTCGCTATCATCTGTTTTCTTCTCCCTATAACTATTTTTCCTCTTGTTGATCAAGCCTTCGCAGCGGCTTCATCGGCTCACCAAGCTGTAAACAGACAGGCGAATCCTTGTATTTTTGGAGCCAGATTAACTCAGGAGAGATAGGTACTTTGGGAAGGTATTTCAGCCTAAGATTTTGAAATGTTTAACAGCTCCCTTTCTCTGCTCTCTGTACATGCTTGAGCAGCTGCCCGGCTCTTGCAGCAGGTGATAGAAGACACAGGTTTGTGAGTATCCCGGCCGGTCTGGGGGGAATGAGGAGCGGCTGGAGCAGAGCTATTCACTGCCATCTCCAGAGCGAGCTCCCCGCGTCAGCCCATGGCAGCAAGTCCAGTCTCTGGTGGTTACGGGTCACCTGATGCTCGTGTATCAGTAGAGCAGAAAGCCCAGGGCCGGTACCAGGTAACCCAGGTGTGCACAGAGAGGCTGTTCTCTGCTGTACGTTCAAAGCATTTAAAAAGAAAAAAAAGAAAGTCAAATATTTTGGTGAGGCAGAGGCTGTTTTTACACAAAGTTGCTCTCACAGTTTCAGTATAGATTATATGGAAAAAATATTTTTTTTCATTCTAAACTTGCTGCCCAGTCACTTTTTCGGGCCCTTCCTAGCTCAGCCATGAAGGATGAACGCCCTGCGCAGGCAGCTCATGCTCTCTGAAGTCCTGGTCTGTTTTCCCTCCTTGTTTACACCCAGGGGAAACCGCCACGTTTCCAAATATAGGTCTTTTCATCTAAGGGGGCGGGGAGGGAAATTGGAATATTGTTAAAAAACAATCCAGCTGCGAGGCAGAAGCGTAGCTGCTTATTCACAGGCTGGAGAGAGAACGGCAACGCAGACCTCGTGTCCTACAGCTCATTGATGGAAATCCTCTGCCATCTGCCGGCACGAATTACTAAAGTCTGTGGTTAGAAGCAATTGCCTTATAAGAGGTAGGAGAAAACAGGCACCTTCGCAGTATATAAGCCCTTATCTAGGGGAAGCGTTACCCATTTTGGTCTCATAAAAGATGCTGCAATCCTCTGCACACCCTCCAGCTTCTGAGCAGGTGGAGACCACAGGCTTTTGTCAGCGCAGCTCTTGGCCAGGGCCTCGTACAGTGACCAGCAGAGCTACGAATCGAACGCCTCTGTGCAAGTATTGATGTACCGGCAAAGCTCCGCTTCTGCCACCTCCTCTCCCCAGAGGCGCGGGTACGTCCGCGTGCAGAGCCGCAAGTAGCACGGCCTGGAGCAGCGGAGCCAGCACGGTCTGAAAAGGTGCGACAGAGACTGTAACCGCCTGTTTCTCACCTGGCTTCTTGCTCAGAGGAGCCCCACCTGTACACTTCAATGCCAACAAGGAAGCGAGATACAATTAACACGAGAAAGATTTCAAATGTTCAGCCAGGACTCGAGCTTTGTCAGGGAAATCCTGCTGCCGCACCTCAATATATTTTTAGTTTTGGCCTCTGCTACTCGGCTCGAAGCTCCTTGAGACGTCCCAGCCCTGCAGGCATGGTTTTCAGGAGAACAGCCTTTCCAAGCTCTGTCTTTCTGCTCCATGTTGCAGAGACAGCTTTAGGGCTTCAGAACCCCTTCACTGCCTCCAAGAAGAATCGGGCTGAGTCTGGGTTTTTGTTCTTCCTTTTCTTGCTTGATAGAGGACTCTGAGCCTGCTGGCCCCTCTGCCTTTCCTAAACAGTTCATCTGGTCTTATAAAGGTTATTTATTCCTACAGGCCGTGCCACGTCTCCATTCACAGGTTGTCAGTACAATAGCTGCTACAAAGGAAGATGAAGACAGGGCTCAGGCGCACGGTCTTGCCCAGCAGCATCAGGCTGCTGTGGGTAAAGGAGCGGCCTGGAGAGGCAGAAAAGCAGATTCATTTCCAAGGCATGGAGCGGGTAGAGTACCAGGCTGGTTCAAGCCCCCTCCGTTCCCGAGTGGGCAGCAAAGGAACTTTATGACAGACGGGTGTTTTTCCAAACCCAGGAAACATCCGGGCCGATAAACCAGGATTTCAATCAGCTCAGAGGATTCGATCAGCGTTACTTGATGTAACACAAAACCATTTCAGAGCCAAGGACTGGTTTCAAGCTATCTCCGAAGCTACTTGTATTTTTCTTCTCTGCATCTTATTGCAGCTCTTTTGCTTTTCCTTCCCACCGTTTATCTTTCACAACACCAAGCCTTGCCTGTACTTCCCGTTTGGCTGCGTGGTTCATAGTTTTCTCATTTGCTGTTATTTTTGACTTCCATCCAAGCTTTGTATGATATTAATAGCTATTTCACAGAACCGTAATCTTCCTCAAACCAGCCCTAATATTAGCAGGAGAAAGAGCCAAGAACCACTGCCAAGGCCTGAAGGGCTTGAGCTCTGAACTTCGTTCTGCCAGCACTGCCCACAGCCCAGCTCGGCCCCTGCCCCAGGGAGGCAAAACATCTGCCCATCACCCAGCTCACATGGCCCCATCCTGGCCACGACGGGCAACAGAGAAGCAGCTTGTGCAAGCCAAAGTGCACAGAAAGATGCTTCCATGAGGATTCAAAAACCAGAATTTAGCGGTAGTCTAATTAATGCCTCAGCCTAACCAAGATCCAGCAATCACTTACCATTCATCCAGTTACAGCAACACTGACGACTAATATCCAAATTACCCAATCTCTATTAAAGGGTGTCAGTAATAGAAAAAGATCAGCACAACAGGCAGAAGCATCGACCCCATCCCTCTAACGATAGAGGTACTTCCCTCGCGTTGCTGCAGTGACTCATCAGCATCCTGAGGGGGAAAGTTATAGTGATGGGTTTTGTCTTCTTTGCTGGGAGGAATGTGATGATCAGGTTGATTGTTTCTTCCTCCTCCGTTTAATAAAATAGCCCTGGGTAGACCCTAATGTATTTTCTACTGCTCTGTACCCTTGAATCTTTCTTCACAGAGCTGCAGTTCCATGTTACATCCAGATATACTGTATATACGGTGTTTTACCTAGGTTTTTTTCTGTTACCTCTAGGTCCTGTTTCTGTCAGGAAATCTAAGTTTATGTCACCTGCCAAAACGGTGTTCTTCGATGAACCGTCACAGCTCACTGATGAGCTGCTGACAGCCCTGAGGCCGTGCTGTGCTTGATGACTGTGCACTGACCCCCTCCCTAAGGATAAGCATCGGGTTTATCACAGGCACAGCCGTTGTACCTCACCGTTATACAAAACTATGACAACCCAAATGCTAAAAAAAACCCAAATGAATTAGGTAACAGCCACCTTGCTGCTGGGCAGTTGCTGTTACAGGTAAACAAGCTGAACAAACCACAGCAAAGTTTCAGGCAGATCACGACAGATCCAGCCCGATGAGCCCCAGTGCCAAGGTCTTACAGAGTCATACGGAGCCTTTGGCCTTTTAACGACAATGCTGTATTTACACTCTGCAGCCCAGTATCCTCTTCTGTGGTCTTCCCCTTGTTACTTTCTAGCAGCTTTAATGCTAACAAAGTCCTTTCCAGTAGGGAGAAGGGCCCCAGGGGTGAGTTCAGAACCTGCTGCTCTGACCACTGGGTTTCCTTTCTTGTCTATCCAGACCCCAGTCCCATTTTGCAAAGGGAAGGTGGCAGCTTCAAGGCAGGGAGACCAGGATACTTTCTTGTCCTAGTTTAAGCTTTTCCCCTTTAGTCTTGTTTCCTCTGAGACAAATTGTTTTATCAGACCCTGCCCAGAAGGAAGCACTTTCGCTATTTAAGGATCAGTCAGTAAGTTACAGACACTGGACTGCCCCTGCTGCAGCATGGAAGAGGCGCAGCCCAGGCCATCGCTCCCTGACGGTGACGCTACACCCACAGCAAAGATGAGGTAAGTGCCCAGCGCCTGTTCTTGCAGCGGCTCCCACAAAGAGCGGCTTCGGGTTGACAAGGCTCAGCCCAATGTCCATGTTCAGAACCACACCATGGTTCAGGTGGAAGGGACCTCTGGAGGTCACCTCATCCAACCTCCTGCTCAAGCAGGGCCACCTAGAGCAGGTTGCCCATGACCACGTCCAGATGGCTTTTGAGTATCTCCAAGGATTGAGACTCTATGACTTCTCTGGGCAACCTGTGCCAGTAAGCCGTCATCCTCACCATTAAAAGAAGAAAATTTCCTGGTGTCCAGATGGAGCCTCGTGAGCTTCAGTTTGTGCCCATTGCTTCTTGTCCTGGCACTGGGCAGCCCTGAAAACAGCCTGGCTCTGTCTTCTTTGCACCCTCCCTTCAGTTATTCATGTATGTTTCTAAGATCTTGCTGAGCCTCCTCTTCCTAGGCTAAAGAGTCCCAGCTCTCCCAGCCTTCCCTCATATAAGAGATGCTCCAGTCCAACATCTTCACAGCTCCCTGTTGAACCCTCTTTGTTGAGCCACCTCTTGCCTCATCCTTCAGATGAAGGCACAGCCTCTTTCCTCCCTGCAGGGAGCAAAGAAATTCTCATCATGTGGTTTTGGCTGGCTGTGCTCTTTCCCATTCTTGCAGTCCAGACCAGGGCCTTTATCTTGGGTAAAAAGAAAGAGCAGCCCTGGCTCCAGGCACCACTGGCTCCTCTTTGGAGCGCAGCAGGTCGGGAATGAAGCTTCCCAGCTGAAAATGGGCTGATTGGAACAAAGATTTACAGGTTCACTAGTAGCTTGAGTGCAATGGACTTGTTGAGCCAGTGGGGAGAGCCCCATCCTCCACCCCTCCCTCCTTTTTGTTCCATGTACAGCTGGGAGCTCCTTTCTGCTCTGTGCAGGTACCACAGGATCCCACCCCTCTGCCCGCTGACTTTCACAACCCATGTTTTCCTCTTTGCAGCAATGAACAACTGAAGGAGAAGCTGGATGCCCTTCAATGCCATTTCACCTGGAATTTGAGCGTAACAGGCCACGTTGGACTGACACATGTCCTGCAGAAGCTGGCTGTTGAAATCAAGCACACCCTCCACCAAAACCACGCAGCTCTCCTGGGGCTGCAGGCGTACCTGTACCAGCTGAACGGCCGGAACAGAGAAGCTCTGCAGAGCCTTAGAGACGCTGAAGAGCACGAGCGACAAAATAAGCACGAGGGACAAGATGAGGAGCAGGCGTCGGCTGCTAGTTCATTGATTATCTGTGGGAATTACGCTTGGATTCACTACCTTCAGGCCTCTTACCAGGAGGCTGAAAGCTACCTGGAACAAATTCAGCAGCTCTGCCCCGCTCCTTGGGATTCACGGCTGATCCCGTACATCCAGGCCCAGAAAGGCTGGTCCCTCCTGGCTGTCAGAACCCGCAACGGGGAACGGGCAAGAGAGTGCTTTGAGGTGGCAGTGATGCTGAAACCAGGGAACAGATATTTCCATACTGGGCTGGGAATGGCTCTTTATTTCTCCTGGAGTTACTTCTGGTATCCCGATATTGCAAAGAAAGCCATAATGCAATTGGAAAGAACTATCCTTGAGCAGCCAAACAACTACAGAGCCAAAATGGGTTTAGCCAGGCTACTCGAACAAGTGGATATAGAAAGATCGATTGACTTGATAGAAGAATGCGCAGAGAAAAGCTCCGATCCCGACGTCCTCAAAGGCACGGTTTTGTTCTGGCTCCGACGATCTACGGAGCGAGCAACTGAGATATTACAGCGAGCCCTGCAGCAGGATCCAGGTTACCACCTTCTCTACCAAGTCTTGGCCAGGTGCTATAAGGTACGGTGGCTTAATGCAAAGAAGGAAGAGAAGAATAATATATTGGATGCAGCCATCAAGGACCTTGAGCAAATTCTTTGTAACCACCCAGACCTTGACATCGTGTTTTTAAAGCTGCAATTAGCAGAGTTCTACGGCACGAGAGACCCAGCCCAGGAAGAGAAGATCTACAAGGAGCTGCAGGAGACAGAGGACACCCTGAGCCCCAAAAGCCGTCAAGCCCTTTGTCTCTACTGGGGGAAGTTCTTCCTCTACAAAAAGAAATCACCTGACAAAGCAAAAGCGAAGTTTATGGAAGGTTACAAAATTCCCACGCGGACAGAAGAGAGGAAGGAGTGCGCCTGGAGGCTGACAAAGATGGCTTGGTACTGCAGCCGCGACGATGCCGACGCCATCTACCACTTCATCCACGAGACCGACCGCCGCTTGCCCACAGAATTTTCTGGAACCGGTCCAGACTGATGGTGGGAGCTCCAGTCTGGAGAGAGCAGAGTACCCCTTCTGCAAAGCTAGAAGGCATCAAGGACTAGTGTCTGTCTCTCCAGCTGCAGGATCATCACCCCACGTAGATACAAGGGCTCCATCAGGTTTTTGGACCATCCCAGAGCTCATCTATTAGACACAGGCCTACCCATAGATAACTGGCTGCCCAAAATTTACACACCCTGCCCTCAGTGCTGCTTCTCTGAGAGGAGGGAACAAAAATAAAGGTGAAGAATTTGTTTCACGGGCTCTGAGCACAATCCTTTATAGGTACAGACCTGTGTGTCTCCCTTGGAGGTGCTGTAGATCAGAAGTGCGTGCCGATTCAGGCAGCGTGAGAAATTAACTCCCTTCAGCTACCAGAATTCTGTCACTTGCCACAAATAAGGTGGCTTCTCTGTAACGGCACCAACTGCCGAGTGGTCTTGGTGGGGGCGAAGCACTTGCGTGCGGGTCCCTGGCCTGTCCAATCGCATTTAATGCGAACACAGCAAGAGCCACCTGCTGCAAAGGAGCAGAGCGCTGCGATTCTACCTGCACTAGTCCTCTGAAGCGTCCGTGTGCTCACCCCTGCCTGAACATAAAACGGGGAGGGGGGTCGCTTTCTTGCACCGGTGCCCATTTAAGAGAAATCACTAGGAACAACTTATTCTGTTTCTGGGGCCAAAGTGAGGCTTTTTGTAGTCTTTGATCAATAAATGCTTCAAATTCCTTTCTACACGATTTCTCCTGGGCAACAGCTGGTGCCTCCTTGCAGCCCAAAGCAACAGAGCGTGGACTGCCTGAGATACACCCTTCCATCAGTTTTCAGTACCCCCAGGCTCACAGCAGGTACAGCTCTTCCCCTGCAGCACCCTGTCTACTTGCACATCCCACCGTGGAACTCGTGTCCTTCCCCTGCAGGCATGGGTGGGCACAGAGCCCCCCCATCCCAGCACTTGGGGCCTTGTTTCCAAGCACTGGCAGGGCCACCTCTGTGCCCAGCAGGAAGCAAGTGGGACTGGCTCGCTAGGGTGTCCCCAAGCCCCATCTATCCCCACAGAGAGCAGCGATGCCCCCCAGAAGGTCCCGCTGCAAATCCCCCAGAGTTTCTCTCCAACAAGGAACAGGCAAGGACCCGGTTTGGGAGAGGATGCACCAGAGAAGGACTAAGCCAAGTGTGTGCAAGATGCAGGATTTGGGGAAAGGGAACACGCCTCAGTGGTCCCCTCAGGCACATCTGGTGGGCATGAAAACACTAGAGGCCAGAAACACCCACCTGCCCTGGGGTCCCAGCCCCACAGGGAAAGGGGACCAGCAGCCCCCAGCTGCCCCATCTCCTGCACTGGGTCAGAGTCAGGCCAACACAGCCGGAGAGGACTTCACCCTCCAGACCCCACCACCAAGGGAGAGACAACCCAGGCCACCACGTTCAGCCCAGGCTATTTCACCTCCCGATACAACGTTGAGGACCAAATCCGTTGTTCTCCTTCCTTCTCCGGAGCCATGAGCCACAGCCTGGTGCGTGATCCTGCACCCCAGCAGACTGCCAGGTTCATTAGTCCTTGGGGCAGGAGCTACTCCGAGCACAGCACCACAGCCTCCTGTAACGCTCACAGGCCCACGTTACAACGCTACAGCACAAATAAAAAGCCATCAACCAGAGTCACGTAGACCACCAGCATTTACTTAACTGCACAGGTCAGGACAGTTCTCCAGAGCTCAATAAAAACAGCCACTTTGTAAAACTTCTGTATGTGTTCCACCAGTCTTTTCACACTTATCTCAATCTGGGAAAGCAGGGACTCCCAAAAGCAAGGGCGCTGTTCAGCCACCCTCATTCCCCTCACCAGTATGTGCAGCACCAGTAATTCATTTAGACTACCCAGGAATCCTTTGGGTTTGCATCTACAGACAATCCTCTACAAAATTCGCGTCTTGTAAACACAGTATCAGGAAATGTTTCTTTAGAAGAAGTCACGGTCCCTCCGGCAGCTGATTAACCAGAGCATTTTGCCCACCAGAGAAATGCAACACTGCCATCCTCAGGGTTACAGGCTGCACGACCACGGCACGAGTCCAGAATTACAGACTTGGGTGCTGTTGGAGAGACTGGATTTGACAAAGTTCAATTGGGGTGGTGCTGCGCTGTGAAGAACCGCCTATGGAGTTTAAAAAAAACACAACACCAAAGCAAAACACAACTTACAAACCTCATGTGACTGTTCCACTTAATACAGGTAGAAAACTGGATGCTACTGAAAAGTTTTGGTGAGTTCCTCTAGCACTTTTTTTTTATATTAACACTTGGACCAAATCCTGCTAGTTACTTTGGTCACCAATACTAAATATTAGATAATAAAAATACATTGCACAATAAAATCCCATTAAAAGTCTCAGTTAAGCCAAAAGATAAAAGGATAAAACCCAACTTATTACATAAGCTGCCAAGGGCTGCGGAGAGGACTTGCACTTATTGTACTCATGCGTGTCGGTGTGCGACCACTAGGACGACTCTAACTCCCAGGTCCACTTCACTTCAGCATAGGAGAGGCAAAGAAGTTGCCCTGATGCCCAAGGTGAGTTGTTGACTTGCTTTTGCTCCCAAATCTAGTTCAAGAGAAGTAGAAAGATATCAGTTTGGGATTTGGGATACAGAGGTCCAACACTCTCCCTTTCACAGAGGTCATTCCCCCAAATTTTCCCCACCTCCCAAAGAAAGCGTTCCTCTCCCTACCACACAATGAAGCTCATTAACCATCATGCAGCCTGCACTGCTGCTGCAGCACCGATTAAGGGAGAGCAAATCCAGGCTGCTCCCAGAATGGAGTCCAAAAGTCTGTTTTCAGTCCTCCTTGAACACCCAAACCACCTGCAGCCACCCCAACATCTCCACGACACCACCCATCGGCACTTACTTGGGGGTGCTTTTGCTGAAGGTGGACCGGACCCTCTGGGACAGGGAGCCTGATGACGGGGTCTTGGAGAGCTGCTGTTCTGGAGTAGTGAGGGGTCCAAGCATGCTCACTGTCAATAAAGAGGCAGCAAAGTGAGCGGCACGAGGACAGCTGAAGTTTTCATTGCCATGCAAGGAACATTAGACATTCCCTAGCATCTGTCAATACTAGACAAATCTGGTATTTCCTGGCACACTGTTCTTCCCTCTTCCCCCATAAAGCCTGCAGGAAGGGCTGGATCCAACCGTACCACAAGCAGCTTTGACTGAGGGTCATTGTTTTTAACGCACAGGCAGTGAAGCAGCGCCCAGGGGTTACCTTTAACATCTGGTGTCTGTGGAGTGGAGTAGGCATTGGTGTTCTCAATCACGTGCACTGCTGGGTCAATGTTTTCTTGGTCCACCATCATCAACTGGCTCCAGTAGTCCATAGGCATCAGCAGAAGTCGCTCCACTACCTAGAGACACCCGTGAGCAGCCGACGTTACCAACCACCAGACAGGCGTCGCCTCAGCTCCCTCCAGAATTCCCTTGAGCTCCGGGACTGGGAAACATCCACCCGGGTCAGCCCTTTCTGCTGACCTACCTTGGGCTGACGCTTAGTGTCCTGCAGGATCGTCATCGGGTCAGGATCAGGTACCGCGTGGGCAACGATGGTGGGGCCAAAGACCTTGGCCAAGTTGGCAACATCCATTTTAGTCTCTGGGCTCTGAGCCACCCTACATTAAAAAAATTACCAAGAAAGAGAGAACATAGCTTCTCCCCATCGCCTGTCATACAGCTCCCCCATCCCACACACCCTTCAGCCTCTGAATAAGCAGGTTTTTTTCCAGAATGAAGACGTCGTGCCCACAAGCAGTAACAAGAGCCAACATCCCCCTTTCAGAACCACCAGCGCATGGGAACGTACCTCTGCAGGTGGACCATGAGGAAAGCCAGGGTGTCCCTATTGGCCTGAGGAAGTTCACCAACTGCTTGGTACATAGCCGCGACGCTGTTGTCCTCATCCGAGATTTCTGGGGAAAAGAAGTGTTTACACCTCAGAGAGCGATCGCAGAGGCACAGCTCTAAGAGCCCCCTCGCAGCAAGAGCCAGCCGGAGAAACAAGGAAGCCCGAAGCTTCACATGCCCTTGCAATAGTTCCGTATCCCGCACAAGCTCTACAGCTCCTTTCTTTCCTCTTCCAAGAGTACGGCAGAAGAGATCCTGGCAGCATATTGAACATCAACAACACAAGGGCTCCACAGAGCACCACGG